TACGTTTTCCCACTTTATTTGCATGCTCAAAGAGATACGTAAATTGCAATGCTCAAAGAGGTACGTAGGCGAAACTAAACTTCAAATTAGGATTTGAACTCAACAACATCTAAAAAGTTTAAACGAAGGGAAACATTATCAATCTGCAATAGCCACCCATAATAAGTTTTGCTCACAATAAATAAATGCCTACACAGTATGCAAACGTGCAACAAAATCAGCAAATAATCTGAGCTGTGAAAATTGTAAAGAAAATCTACCAAGAAAAGTGTACCCCCAACAATTTTTGTGAGGGTATGGTTGTGCTTCATAACAGGGGCAAAACCATTTTTTCACTAAGTGTAATTTTTGTGTAATAACATTTTCAATGACAGTTTCATTTTTTTCTTAATTGCATCAATTTAAAGTTTAATGATGTGGTTATTGAAATAAACTGAAAAAAATACATTTTGTTTTTATTTTCATATAACATTAATCCAAACATTATGGGGGCGGTTATGCCCCCACTTCCCCTAAATAGAAAAAAATAAAAAGAAATTAATAATTTAAATAATTTCTGTACTTTTTTTATTTTTGTTTCTTTAGAGTGGTTATTTAAAAAAAAAGAGTTTTAAGTCTACATTAAAACTAATTAAGTATTAGTTGCAATGTGTTTGTAAAATATATTTGTACAATTTTAACGTAATAAATATATATATTGTTCCTTTACAAAAACGTCTATGTAATGCATGCATATACTTTTATGTATAACTTTTTGTATTATATAAATATATTTACTTGTTCCTATTTGTACACACGTTGAGCTTATTTATTTTTTTTTAATGTTGATTTAGGTGCCCCAAAAAGTTCTTACGGTCTTATCACAGAGCACTGCGTAAGAGCATTTAATAGGAAATTCACACCTCCTTCCCAACCAATGTCGTAAAACTCACCCAGAGGTGGGGTTTGAACCACAGATCTTACATTTCTGAGGCAAGTGCGCTACCACTGCACCACAGCTGCTTAAATTTGGATAAGGCGTTGACTTTGTAAACGGAATGTCCTTGGTTCGAAACCCATGTCTTCCTAAATTTTTTTTGTTTTTTTACACAGATATACAGCCAAATGTTAAAAAGAAATGTGTCTCCGCTTAAAGATTAGGGATAAAAAACTTAAAGGAAAAGAAAGGTATTATGAAACATTAAAGGCTATATTTAGACGGTGTGGCCTAATTGAAGCTTAAAAACTATGTATATATTTGCATGCGATATATTTATATGTATATATTTGCGTGCTATGTATATATTTATTGTATATATATAACGTGCTATGTATATATTTATTGTATATATATTATTGTATATATATATTGTATGTATATATAACGTGCTATGTATATATTTAGCTATGTATATATTTGCGTGCGATATATTAGCTTTGTATTTCATCTTGGACTACAAAAGTATAATTTTCAGCAAAGTTGCCAATAATGATAATGTTTGATTGATCCATATTTTGTTTTAGTTGGTTAAGGTACTGTGATTGAGAGTGAGCAATAAAAGAATGAGCTTGTAGCTTTTCAAAACAAGATACTAATAGTTCAACAAATATTGAAACATCTGCTGTTAAACTCAATAGTGTTGCACGATCAGTAGTTTGCCATTGCTTGTAGTGTATCTCAAAATCATCTTCGTATTCTCCGAAAATCTCATACATATATTTGGTCAGGGTTTCTTTACCAGGACAATTATCACACTGTGCAAGCATGCATTCTTTGTTTTCTACTGAGCAAACGGTTTTCGAAAGTAAATCCTTATACTTTAGTCCAATATTTAAGGCATCTACTAGCAATATATTTTAAGTATCTACTAGCAATATGGCATTTTGGTGATAACAACAAACACAAACAGAATGTGTATCATTTGCACCTGGCGAAATGCACCACTTTGGTCTAAGTGAAGCAAATTTTGAGTAACTTATTTGTATTTCTGGATTGTTTTCTTTGTATAATACATATAGTTCTTTTAAATTACACAAAAGCAGTTTTTTTTGTTTATGGATATTCTTTTGAATGCTAACGTAATCTTTTTTTCCAGACATAGTTCTACATAAATCACTTGAGTCATAAAACAATTTAACAGAATCTTCTATTTCTTTGTGTGAGATTTTACCTTTATACAATGGAGAAATAGCTAACAATCCTTTTTTATTAAAAATTTGTCTAGCCATTAGTCCTTTTGTCAAAACATAGAATTTTTTCTTTTATCAAGCTCATAATTTCATCAAAGTTTTCAGCCTTCTTTTTCATATTATTTGTTTCATAACACAGTTTTGAGGAAACATTGACTTGACTTTCAGTTTTTCTAGTAACGTTATTTACCATTTTGTTGATGCGCGCAATTTTTCGCTTTCCTTCTGAAAGAATATGTTTTGATGACTTTGAATGAGATTTTAGAGGAGATATATTAAAATTTTTGAGTTCTTCATTGATCTCCTGTCTTTTTGATGATTTTAGAAAATCCTCATCTTGTTCCTGACTTTGTTTCTTTTCTTTAAGATCTTCTTTTATGGCAAGATCTTCTTTTGCTTACAAGGTTTGCAAAGTTTCTTCCCAGGAGCATTATTCAAACTACTTCTCATCGTGACTTGTGACTCATTTATTGTAACTACTACTCATTTATTGTAACTACTATACTTTTTTAATGTATTAAAAAATGGTCAAATGTTTTCAAGTTAATCAATATTTGCTGGAATTAATAAACTCGTAAACTTAGGGATTAATATCTATAAATTATTTCATAAAGCCTTTTTCGTTACAAAAATATTTAAATTTTTTATATAGCCAAAAAAACGGTTTCTATAGTTACATTAACTTCTTTTCAACAATGGCTATTACGTTACAACACGCGAAAAGAACAAAATATTTATTAAATAAACAATAAAGAAAATCAAACGCGTAGAAAATTAACTTTTCCTAATTTATTTATTTTCTTTTTTACCTTAGTTTTAAGACATGGTTGCACGTAAAAGAGTTCCTCAAAATGCAGTTGCAAAAGTTAAAGAAAACGCGACAACTCAAGTCGTTAGTGAATTAGATGATAGAAAAAGTATAAACTCAACTGTATTGAAAGTTGATGAAGTTACTAGATACTTTTATATAACTCTTAAAACAATAAAATTAAAAGGTCACGTAAAAAGTCACCAAGCTTTTGGTGACTTTTTTTCACAGCAGCATTTGGTGACTTTTTTTGCTTTATTCCATACGGTTTTTTAAGAAAGAAAAACAAACTAATGAATAATAAAGAAAAAAAAATTTCAACTATAACATGAGATGATGCTAATCTGTTTAATAAAAGGAGTGAGATTATTTCTTAGTGTAGACATAGAAACAGATACCTTTTTTACTATTTTGAAATAATTAATTAAGCTCTTGGAATTTGGAAAAAAAAAGGTTGACCTGAAACTGTTTTAGGTCAGCATCTGGTCAGCACAAATTTAGAATGCTTGGCAGATCAACAAACATGTGAACATTTAGTATTAAATTAACAGAAAAAAAAATGCCAAGTTTTTCCTATCATTTATTTTGTTCAGAATTTAAAAGTTTGTTTTTCCATTTCTTAATTTTTTTATTTAGAATATAAATAAAGTGTTGTTTTTTTTGTTTTTAATTTAATAATTTTTAACTTAAATAAAGCGTTCATTTTGTCATTTTTATTTTAATTTGTTAATTTAAAGTTTAAATAAAGCATTTGTTTTTTTGTTTTAATTTTCAATAAAAAATTTCAAAAGTTGATTGTTCTTCTAAATTAAAAGCCCTAATTTTTTTCTTGAAAGTACTCCATAAGCTTCTTTACATTTTTGGAGCTCCTGGATACTAAAAACCAGGAAGAAATTTTTTGTGAAATCTGGAGACCTTTTTAAGACTTTGCATCCCGTGATATTACATATAAAATAATCAAAATGAAACAAGCTTATTTAAAATTTTTAGAAATGAGGTTTTAGCAAAAATGCAAATTAAATCTCATTCATCTGGATCACCAAATTTTATTTATGGTATATTTAAAGTCTATTTATTACATGAATATTTTTTTTTTTATTTTTTTTAATTTTACTTCACCTCCGAAAAGGCCGAAAAGGCCACTACAGACGAGGAGGCTACTTATTTTGTGGCTATAACCCTCTCTCAACTCTATAACTCCGAAACACGAACCTTGACGAACAAGGCCGCTGCGCGGAGAAACGAATATGCTCTCCACAAAATATTCAACAAGAAACAAAGTTTTTTTACATCAATTTTTATTAATAAACATATATTGAATAAAATAACTCAAACCTTTTTTAGAGATGCTAATACACAATTAAATAGCAAAAAAAAAAAAAAAAGCAGTATCATTTATTACAAATTCATAACCCTTGAAGTGTATAAAATTAAAACAATCTTTTGCAAAATTTGAAATCAAAACAATTTTTACAGCTAATCCTAATCTGACGTCAGTTCTCTGCTCTCATAACCAAGTGTAGGTAATGGTAATAGTATAGTGGTTATGCTCTTACCTCATATGCAAGAAGTTTCGAGTTCAATCTCCACCACATCCCTGGTAGTACCTTGCTTAACTTGTTTCTCCGCGTAGCAGCCTTGTTAGTTAAGGCTCGTGTTTTGGAGTTAAAGCATTGAGAGAGGGTTGTAACCACAACTAAAAGTTACTTCCTTGACCTTTAGTGGGGAGGTGAATTGATTTTGACAACGGCAACAATTAGAAGTTAAAATATTTCTGTTTTATTATTTCAAAAAATTTATTAATAGAACAAATGAATACATACTTTGTCAACCTTATTATTGTTGTTATTATTATTATTATTATTATTATTATTGTTGTTATTATTATTATTATCATTATTATTGTTAAAATATTTATGTTTGTATGTTGTTGTCTGTTACGTTTGTATGTTGTTATCTTTAATACATGTATGAAATAAATTTATTATGGCATAAAACCCTCTTTTTTATTTTCATTTTTTAGTTGTGAAAGTCAATCATGCAATAATTACAGTGAATTAAAAACAGAAAACAATGATATCAAAAAAGAATACAACAATATCATAGGAAACTTACAAAGAAATCATGCATCTGAAGTTAGCATTTTTTTTTTCATTATTATATTCTTATCAAATAGAACTTTTTTTATGATAGGATAACGTATTTTATTTGAGTTTATTTGTTTAATTGTTACTTACAATAAATTAAAAATAAACTAATTAAGACTTAAACACAACACGTTTCCAAGATGGATGTTATGCGTGTTGTTTAATTCTAACGTTTTTCTAACATGATAAATCAAATCTATTTTGTACTTTGCAAAATAATTTTTTTTATTATATAATATAAAAGATATTATATAATATAAAACTTAATATAAATATATATATATATATATATATATATATATATATATATATATATATATATATATATATATATATATATATATATATATATAAAATATAAAACTATATATATAATATATATAATATATAATAGATATATATAATATAAAAGATATATAATATAAAAGATATTATATAATAAAGAAGCTTGTTTTTGTAATAAAATTTCTTATACAAGAACAAAATGTTTGTGTTTCTAGTACACATCTCTAATTTTTATGTTTCTTGTGTGTATTTCTAGATACTTGTTGCTAATAACAATTTTTTTTTGTTGAGACCAAGCATAGTTTTTTATAATAAAACAGATTCATAAAATAAAACAGATCCAGCCAATTACAGACCGATCTCTCTAACATCAGTGACATGCGAGATAATGGAATGCATCATGAAAGGTGTTAAATAAATCATATATATGCAAATAATTTATTACATCCAAGTCAACATGGTTTTGTTAACAACAAAACTTTTGTAACAAACCTCGTAGAAACAATTGATTTTGCAACTGAATCAAACATCCTGTCAAAATAATCTTCCTTGACTTTGAAAAAACTTTTGACAAAGTCCCTCACAAAAGAATTTTAGATAGACTATCAGGTGGACACAGAAAAATAGGGTCAACTTAAGATTGAGATTTCTCTAAAACCACAAATGCCTTTTATTTCTTTTATTTTTTTAATTAAACTTTACTTCGTTATCTTTAATTGCGTTATTAAACTTTTGTTTACAAATCAATGATTTGCAAAATGTTTCGCCAACAAATGTGCGTTAATAAGTTGTGAATTTTTTTTGCAAAAATCCATCAACTTCATATCGCTTGATTAGTAAACGTACAAATGTCCCAAAATCTACAAACATAGATATTATAAATAAGTTCAAGACTACTCAAAGCTTCAAAAGAAAACTTGGAAGTGCAAGAAATAAAACTTCCCATAAATCCAAAAAGGTAAAGTTGATTTTACGTTCAATAGCAAGAAATCTAAACTAGTTGCAGCGAAATCTAGCAACAAAATTCAAGATTTTGCGTTCTTATATCAAAAAAGTACTTAAAAATACTGGAACTAAAGCATTTCATCCTCCAAATCGTCCTGAAGAGTGCAAGATTGAAGATTTTTAGGCAATAGTTAAAGAAGTTCTTCTTAAGACAGGTGGAGTAACAAAAAAGAAAAAGGACTTCCAAAAAATTGGATTAATGTCACCAATAAGATGAAAAAAGAAAAATCTGTGAACTGATAGCATCAGCCCACTAAAAAATTTGCTCTCTTGCCAAACAGCCCATCAAGACCCCTAAAATTTAGTTGAATCTCTAATTGATGTAAATACATTTAATAATAAAAAAATTAAAATAAATAGCATTTATGGTTTTAGAAAAATCTCAATTTAAAGTTGACCGGATTTTTCCGTGTCCACCCAATATTCAAAAATGGAATTCAAGGCAAAATTCACAAATGGCTAAATTCCTTTCTATCTAACCAAATATAAAGTGTCATTCTAGGTGAATCGATTTCAGAATGGGCTGATGTTGTGAGCAGAGTTCCACAAGGCTCAGTTCTCGGTCCAGTATTATTTGTTATCTATATCAACAACCTTCCTGGCAATATCTCTGTCCTACCTAAAATATATGCTGATGACACTAAATTACTTGCAAAAATAAATTTAAAAGATATCAAGAACAGTATAACTCCAAACTGTTATTAATTAAAATTCATGGAACTTTTTAAAATGATCTTTATTTTTTTCTAGTTGTGATATTTTTAGGATGCAAAGAAAAGTACTAGTATCTCTAGACTTAGTCCTTTTTGAAAAAGATGTTGCACTGTAAGTTATCATAGAAGTAAAAGAAAAATTTTTTTTTTCGGACATGATTTTAGAACTTTCCAGCAATTAGTTTTTGGTTTGCATGTTTTATAATGACCAAGTAGCAACAGCTTATTGCATGGCAGTAATGAAGTAAGCAAGTACTAAATTTTTTACTCTAGTAATTTATCATAAAAGCTCATGAAAAGCAAAAGTCATGGAAAAGTCATGGAATTTCATTTTCAAATTTAAATGGCCACCCTGTAATGCACCTAAATATAGATAAATATAAAGTTACCATGTTGGTAAAAGCAATCTTATGTCAAACTACACTTTTACCCATTACAATACTAATATGAGATTTAATCTTGCAAAAACTACTTGCAAACAAGATCTTGGTGTTTTAATATCATATGATCTTAAATCTTCAACACAAGCATGTAAAGCTGCCTCATCAGCTGGTCAAATAATTGGTCAACTAAAACGTTTTGTCAGTCGTGTTGTTAAACTCTTCAAGAAGTTATATACTTGCTATGTACATCCACACCTTGAATTTGCAGTGCAAGCATGGAACCCTCACCTCTAAAAAGATAGAAATCTTCTTGAATCAATTCAACATATAATACAAATATCACATGCAATAAAAGACTTTAATTATGAACATAGATGCAAAAAATTTAACATCACTCCATTAGATCGTAGACATGAGCGTGACGATGTGATTCAGTAATATAAAATATCATATAACATCAATAAATATACAATAGATCAAACCGCAAATAATTATTCCAGCTTGTGCTAATCAAACTCGATCACAACTAAGATGGTAAATTTTTAGAAATTATCAGCCTAGACATCACTTTTTTACTAATGGTATTTTCTCTAAATGGGATGACTTCCCCAAACAGGTAGTGAAAAATGTGTAAAATTGTTTAAGATATTGCTTTACAATTTGGACAATTAATCAGTGAAATTGCCACATGGTGTCATCTACTGTTGACATGTTGCGCACTAATTGCCACATGGTGTTCGTTTTGATAATTTTAAATAAGTTTTGATAAAAGTTTTTGATAAAACTGAAGTAAATTTTAATGTTTTAAAGTTTATAAAAAAAAGATAGGGAAAATGATAAGCATATTGTTTTGATTTATAAACATTCTAAAGATGTATCATGATTTTTTAAGTGTACAAGTACTTTTATCATTACTCCTTTTATTTTTACAAAATCATCTGTGGTGTTCCAACCAAAAAAGCCCTACACCTTAACACTACATCCACCATGTTTACAGTCAATAATACACACTATTTTGTCATACATTCAACAAGTTTTTTTTCCAGGCAAACAATCTTATCTTGAAACCATATATTTAAAACTTCGACATGTTGGTCCTTTTTTACAGTCATTGATGGTCCATTTTTCCATGTAGTTTTACCATGTACTTTTTTTTGTTGCATGCATTTTTATTGTTCTTATCATTTTTATCAAAGCAATTCAAAATACTTAAAATTATCTAATAGTGCAAAAATAAACATAAAAAATAGTTTTAAAAAAAAAAAGCATTTTTAATAAAAGTTTATCTGAATGAACAGTAGTGTGTAAACATTTATATAAGTCACCCCTGATATTATATGTTATATAAGTCAATCAACTCTAAAATACATAATGTTCCTTCAATGTCCCTAAATATGTTCTATACAATAAAATAATACTTGATTTAAAGTTATTTTTAGGGGTACCACAAGACCCTTAAACACCAAGTCCTTAATATTATCAAAAAAAAAGTTTGTCACGTTGGGTCTCGAATAAAGCGAAATTATATAAATATTTCAAAAACAATCATTATAAAAAACTTTGAGAAATTATAAAATTAGAAAAATTATAATTAAAAAATCTTGTTGAATTCCTTTTTTTTTTGTTTTAAGTTAAAAACTGTCATTTTCTAATTACTAAAATCTAATAAAAATATTTATTTTAAGTAAAAATTTTAGAAAACATTACTCAATTTGTTCACATGTTGTAAGTAATAGTTGGTGTTTGATGAAATCACATGTTGTAAGTAATAGTTGGTGTTTGATGAAATCACTGGTTAATTAAAAAGTAAAGATATTTGCCATAAAAAACATGTATTACTTGAACATATGGTCTGTATGTTTCAAAAAAAGTTGTCTAACTTACTCTTCTTATATAATTACTTGAGCATTTGAGTATTTTGCTATGTCCAAGTCTCTGCGCAGCTGCATTTCTAATGACTATAAATTACCAAGTATTAGAACTTTGACAAGAATTATTATTAGAACTTTGAATTCAATTTTAAATGTTGGATCACAAGATAGTATGAAATTTAAATTTTTTTTTTTGATGAGTATTTGTAAATACACAATGTAAATTGCTGGTTAACGAAGTTTATATCAAATCCACATGAATTTATGATGGAGGTGTATTGTTTGGAAATTCTGTTGATTAACCTGGTGTCCTTGCCAAAACCATGTTAACTATAATGCTAAAATGTTCATTTGGTGGACCTGAGTTTCTAGTGCAAATGATTCCAATTAGTCCCTTAGATTCTGATTTTTTTTTTAAACAATGCAAACCTCTAATTGAAACAATTAACAATCAACCCTGTTATCAATTATTGTTTATGGAAGTAGAGTAAATCAAAAGCTTTTTAAAATGATGAATAAAATTGAAGAAAAACCTTGATGCAGAGATAATGAGAACACATTTTTGTTGTTTGATTATGTTCATGTCATGAAGCATGTTTGTAATAATTGGTTAACTGAAGAAAATGTTAGTTTTTGAGTTTGATGATAACAACATGTAACAAAATAGAGTAGTTTTTATAAGTTGGAATCTGCTAATCTTTTAAAGCTTAACAATTTAAATAAAGTTTTTATCTCACCAAAACCAATTGAACAACAGAAAGTTGACACTTATTTAAAAGTTTTCTATGTTGAAAAAATAGACCATGTGAATAAAAATGAGCAATTGCTTCTACTCAGTAATCAGTCAGCTTTACGTGAATAAAAACTTTAGCCGTTTTGCTTAAGTTTTTAAATACGTAAAGCTGAACAATTACTGAGTAAATTGCTAAACTTTACGTGAATAAAAATTACAGCAAAACTGATAACGTTTTTATTCACGTAAAGCTGACCAATAACTGAGTAAAAGTAATTGCTCATTTTTATTCACCCGGCCTAATTGTTTCACAAAAGAATCATCCATCCATCTTGATTGGTAATGTCTAGGCAATTGTCATTATCATGTCATCATTATCATCACCATTATCATCAACATCATATGGATTCTTGACTGGTAATGTCTAGGCAAGAAACCCAGTTTTCAGCTGTTAAACTAGTATATGATGAGTTGGATCGAAAAGTCAGAATTGATGTCAAACATCAAAATATCATCAACATTCTACAAGAGAAATATCAAAACAGTTATAAAATCAACAGTGGTCTTTAATAAATTTATTTATTTAATATATTTTTTTACTTTTATCAATTAAAGACGTAAATATCATCATTGACATAGATTAATATATATCATGGATAAATGTAACCTAACATCATTAAACGAATGATATAATAATTGTTGCCTTTATTTTTAGCTCAATAGTAGCTGCATTGTATTGTTTAAAACAAACTGTGAAACGTCTCAAAGTTCAGATAAAAATATCTGTCGCATATGTCACAGGTTAGTCATTTTTGCATTAATCATCTGTTACCTTTTGTTTTATATTGTATTAAAGTTGTGTTAAATTTAAATTGATATATAGGAGTATATAGTAGAAAATAAATTTAGATAATTTAATGAAGGTATAGACGGGTTTTTTTTTATTTAGCGACGATGATGAGTTGATTGCGCCATGTAATTGCTCTGGATCAGCACGATATGTTCATGCCAAATGTTTAGTAACGTGGTTTAAGAAAACTGTAAAAAATCAATGCGAACTTTGCATGGGTGATGTTAAGATAAGAAAAATAAATCATCGGTTTGTCTTGGTTGGTTGATTTTAAATTTCTTTTTTTTTCTTCTGATTTTTAAGGATTCATTATCTTATCATTAAGTTTATGATTATATAAAAATACGTAAAGTAAATATTTATTAATGAATTGTTGTTTTATATTGTTTTATTATTTATTGTTTAATAATTGCACGGGTTTGCTGAAATGTTTACAAATTGGTAACTATAAATATTAGTATTTATAGTTACCAATTTCTGTTATAAATTTTTTCCGCTTTAAAGTTAGTTGTTTGTTGTTCAGAGGTTTTTATCTTCTTAGTTTTCAGGAAGTTTTTGTTAATTTTTCGTTACGAAGTTAATTGTTACATCTATTAAGCCTAAAAGTTCAATACATAAGCATGTGTTTACAAATAATTTTAACATTTTACAAATATTAAAAAAAAAAAAAACTATATATATAAAAAAATATATATATATATATATATATATATATATATATTGGTTTTTAATTTTATTTTATTTTATTTGCATATATATATATATATATATATATATATATATATATATTGCATATTTTTTGCATTTATTTTTGTTTTTAAGTGGAAGAAACCCGAAGATCGACCTGTACCATTAATATGGTTTACAGTATTTTTTGTTGGTTTGTTTCTTAATATTCTTTCAATTTACGTGAACGCTTCCGAACTTTGCAAATCTACCGCGTGTCTAATTTTTTATGTTGTTAATGGATTCGGCATTCTTCTTGACGCTGCATTTTTGTATTTTTGGTTTTTAAAATGTCGTCATTATTGGAAGAAATGGTGTGCTTTGAACCAAGATTGGTATATAGACGATTTAAAAGATGATGTCGATTATGTCAAAGACCATCCAGTGTAATAGATCCATCCAGTATAATAGATGTAAAAAACTTATTTTAGTAAATATTGCCTAATTAAATAAATTTAATATTATATTTTACATTTTTCTAATTTAATCTTTAGTTCTTCAACTTTGCGTTTGTATTTTATTAGAGGTTATATTAAAGTTGTTTGTTGCGTTTTATTTTCTTTTTTAAATTATTTTTCTATAAAGTTTTGTTGTTCATTTAGTTAATTCTTGTAAAAGCTTTTAAGATTAATAATACCCAGTAATACACGAGATTTACTTCACTCTATACTTATAGATACATGACATTGTAAGGCTTCTTTTACATGAGTTTAAAAGATTTTTTCATGGTTATCAATATCATTTTATGGGTTATAGTTTCGGCCCTGTTTTATAACTATGTAATGAAATGTAAATGTAATGAAATTTTTTTCCGGCAGCTGTTAGATTCAGGGCCGTCCAAAAAAGATTTTAATGTGGGAGGGGGTGACATATCTGTTTTTAGCCGACTAAAGCCAAAAAAAATTTTTGCCGACTAACTATTATAAAAAACAAAGGTCTTCGTTATCCCACATTTGCCGACTGCCAACTATAAATCCAATTTGCCAACTAATAAAATTCGTAGGGGTGGATGGGGGGGTGGGGGTGGAATAAACACCCCCAACGCCCCTCCCTTTCGGGAAGGTCCTGGTTAGATAATTCTACATATTCGAGTCTTGCTAGTGTTAAAAAAAGAATCCCAAAAGCTTTTTTGTGATAAATTTACGACTATGGAAATAGCAGTAAATATATTCAGAATTTTAGTTCCTTAATAATTAACCCAACTAAGTAAAAGTAAGACATAAAGAAAATTGGTTTTAAACATATAAAACAAAAAAAAATAGCATTATGTCTAAATTTAAACAATTTTAAATGATTAAAACGTTTAAAAGAGAAAGAATTGTGTATGATAATTTAGTAATTAATTTTTTGTTTTTCTCTTTCAAGTGTACATAAATAGTGTCTAAGACCATTTTGAATAAGAGTGTTACATTATCGAGTTTTTAGTCTGACGGAATCGAACAATTTGATAAATAAAAAAGAATAGCATACTGAATTTCTTGAGCACTCAAGGATAGATTCTATTAATAGCAGTGTTTTTTGAAATGTCAAGCCCAGATAAAAGTGCTTAGATATTGGGACATTTGGAAAAAGAACTTGAAAATAGAAAACAACTCCTGTTCTTTAATTTATTGATTGATATTATCTTACTTGATTCTTGTGAAATACTATGAAATTTTACCATGGTGCTCGGTGATTTTTGTCACCATGGTGATCGGTGATAAGACAAAAACAATGTCTTCCTCTTGCTCTGCATTGTTATATTTTGTTAAATTTCTGACCTCGAGTATAACTATAGTTGTAAATTAACAAACGTTTGATATCTGAAGGCAAACTAAATTGTTATATATTGTCAAATCTTGGTTGAGACAAATTTGAAGCAGTTTTGAATTAAGTATTTAAAATCAAATTAGCAAAAGTTATTCAATTTTCTTGATAAACTGTCTTTGTATTTTTGACTGCGTTTATTAATTCAGCGTGGTGCGGTGACCTGACCGTGGAGTAATATTATAAGGGGCTGTTCAAATAATACGTGACAGTCTTAGGGAGGGGGGGAGGGAGTATCAAAAAGTGTCACTAAATGTCACATGGGGAGAGGGGGGTGGTTTGCCTCAGTTTGACGAGACAAAAAACATTTTATATTAAATTGTTTATCACTGCGTAATTAAATTAGTTTATATTGCAAACTCGGAGGTATTTATATATAATACTGATTTCGAGAAAAATTGTATGCAACGACTTCACAAATAGTGAGCGTTTTTTGTTTAACTTTCATTTAACAAAAATTTTTGTTTTTGTTAAATGATTGGATTTGATTAATTTATATTTACTCCGACCAAAATTATTTTTGTGGAAATTGTACGCATAAAAAGAAATTCTAATCCTACGAACATGGGCAAGTATCTAAAAACGATTTATATTACTATCAAAAATCATATTTTATTTTTTAACACTATTTATATTAATAGACTAAAAAGTTAAGTGTTATTTTCGCTTAAAATATCGATATAAAGTAATACTAATAAATAAAAGTAATACTAATAATGTTATTACTAGTATTACTTTTAATATTTTGTGTCACTCTATTGCAAATAATTGGTCTAATTACTTTATTATTTTATTATTACGTTATTATTTTATATTTATATTTTTATTATTCATTAAGTTAGTTAGATTGTTAACAAATTTTAGTATTAATAATGCTATGTTAACATTAATTCACAATGTGCTTGTTTTTAATTAATGGTTGTAAGGAAAATAAATTTATTGTCGTTGTTGTTATAGAATAAAAATGTCTAGTGAAAAGGAACAACTTTACAAATCTATTTATGAAGGATATTTAAAAGCATTTACAAACAAACCAAAGCAAAAGTCTCAAGAAGAAACAAGATCAGTTAAAGAATGAAATTTTTATTTTACAAAAAGATATCGCATATTTTACTGAAAAAAGAAATTGCAACTTGTTGTCACAAGAAGACCACCATATATTAAGACAAAAACAAAAGCTTTTGATTGAAAAAAACCGAGATCTTGTACTTCGTCAAAAAGCCACTGAACGTCAAACAGTAACCAGGCTAAAAAGAAAAAAAGCAATAGAAGCTTTAGATCCGGATATTAGAAAAAAGTTGTGTGGTATTAAAAATGCAGTATCAAAAGTTCGACCGCTAGCCTGTGATCAGGACAGTTTAATTAAAATGATTGTAGATATTGCCTTGAAAGGTTCTGCTTCTGATGATAGGAGAAGAGCTGAAATTGTTCGAACTGTAAAAACATTAGATGACTTGGTTGAAGAATTAAAAAACCATGGTTACAATCTCTCCAGATCAGGAGTTTACTTAAGATTACTTCCAAGCAGATCATTGAGCACAGAAGGAAAAAGACATTTTAAAACTGCACCTGTTAGACTAATAAGAGCACAAAATTCTGAGCATAAATATCATGCAGACATAAAATTTGCCAAATCATCCATCAGTGCTCTTGAAGAACTTGCTGCAGTCTTGGGTCCAAAAGAAGTGACGTTTCTTTCTCAGGATGATAAAGCTAGGGTGCCAATTAGATTGACAGCTACAAACAAACAAGCACCAATCATGATGCATATGGAGTACAAGGTGATCATGATTTTGTAATTACTCCTCAACACAAACTTATTCCTTTAGTAGTTGCAGCCATAGAAATAAAAAAATATTGCATTGAAAAACAAGCAGTCACATACTCTGGCCCAACATACATAGCAATCAGAAGTGCAAAAAATGATTCATCAACAGCACTTCGTCACTTAGAAGACATTAATAGAATCAACCATCTTCCTGCATTTGAAAGCAGCTTATATACTGAAGATGGAGTTAGCAAACCAGTCATGATTATAACTTGTTGATGGTGGGCCAGACGAAAATCCAAGATATGAAAAAACAATTCATTGAGCCAAGACTTATTTCAAAGAGCATGACCTTGATGGCATGTTTGTGGCAACCAATGCTCCTGGCAGAATTGCCTTTAACAGGATAGAGAGAAGAATGGCTCCGCTAAGCCATGACCTTGCAGGAATTATACTTCCATTTAATCATTTTGGAAGCCATTTTAGTTCAAGAGGAGAAACAACAGACAAACTTATAGAGAAGGCAAATTTTGCCAAAGTTGGCGAAGTTCTTGCGCAAATTTGGTCCAGCACAGTCATTGATGGATTTGAAACTATTGCAGAGTACAAAGAACCAAACAGTGAAAATCGTGTACAATTAAAGCAGTTTGGAGCAGAGTGGGATGCTAAACATGTCAACGAAAGTCAATACTTGCTTCAAATTCTAAAATGTAATGATCAAAACTGCTGTGGTCATTATCGCAGCTCACTGTTCCATCTTATTCCAACTGGCTTTCTTCCTCCATCAATTTCTTTATTCCAAGGAGAAAAGGGCCTTCAGTGCAATAATACAAAGTATAACTTTGCAAGCCTCTTTTTAAACTTATCACTAAGCAAAACAATTTTTCCCAAGACAATTACAAAAAAGTTTCCCAAACGATTGCCATACGACTACTCATGTCCGAGCATTCAAAGTTCCTAACCAAAAAGAATTTGTACCAATTGTAGTCTACATTTTGCCACTATCAAATCAATGAAACAGCACAAAACAGTTTGCTCAAGTATTGGATTATCGAATGAGATTCAAAAAGTTAAACCTCATCGCCTAGTTGCTCAACGTCTATCTGAACTCATGTGTGTCTTTTTAAATTCAGACAAAGAAACAATTGAATGGCATGATCAGGACAATATTGATACCTCTGATCTCAACTGGCCTTCAATAATTATTGAAGAGCATTGAACTCCAATACTTGAAGGTCAAAGTCCAATTTGGGAACAAATTTAGGACATGTTTCTTAAACAGAAACATGTCAATTGTATCTTTTTTTAATATGAACTGTTACAATTAAATAGACACTTGTGAAAATTCCAAACTTTTGTCTTTGTCACGTCACACAGGGGTGGGGGTGGGGGAGTTTTTTAAAATGTCACATAGGGGAGGGGGGTTTCTAAAAATGCCTTAAAAAGTGTCACGTATTATTTGAACAGACCTTAAGATTAGTCATATATTGGTAGTGAAGACACAGAAAGTGTAGTGACAAAGTGAAGACACAGAAACGATTAAATATGATCAGATGGTCTTTTGAATTTGTAGACCAAGATAAGTTATGAACTTTTAATTTACAACTGAAATCTTTATAAAATGAAGCAGATGCTATTCTAAGTGTAAAATACTTATTGCCGGCAACATTTAACTACCATTTTTCTGACCAGAGAAAAACTTTTTTTACGGCAATGGTTGTTGCTATGATTAGTCCCCTTAAATAAACTATATAGCTTGGTATCGTTGGTTTATAGCATTAAAGATCAATCAAGATTTTGATTAACGCAAATCGTTAACATATAAAAAGAATAAAGCTAGAACCTACATACTAACCTGGAAAACTCCACTAATAACGCCAAAAACCGTTGATATCTC